ATGATGAGCGGCTGATTCCTCCTCGTCGTGAAATATTTATCATTGTCGTAAAGGACACAAAACGAGGAAGGTTATAATTATTATATATTAACTATTATTGTTCGCTGCAGTTACCCAACGCCATGAAAATAATACTGTTCAGAAAAGACATATTATTATTATAAAGGTCAAAACTTGCGTTATTGAAGATGTTTCTTGTACGTGAAATAAACAAGGCTAATAGTGACGCCAAATACTCGTTGCACAACTTATTGTCAAATATCTACCCAACTATCTAATACAGACCTTAACTTTTGCACACTCTCTTGCATCAATCCGTCTCAACAATGTAACCATTTTTTAAACACCTGCTCGCTGTATTCTAGTAGCTACCTTAAGAAATACTATTTTAAAATCCCCCTGGGAGGTTTGTATTTGCAGGTTATTAAAGGTCTGCATTCTATAAGCTAGGACAACAGCCGTTATAAAAACAAGTCAAACTGTTCTTTTAATCGTGACCCTATGCTTATTGAATGCGTGTTCTGGAAACGTTTGGTGCAAAAAGGTTTTCATTTTAGAATTTTCTTTAGTCTTGCAATTATTAATCACGCGGAAAGAAACTTGAATTTTTTGTAACTCCTTTTTTTAAACCCATGATTAAATTATTTTATTACTCTTTGAACTAATACACACCGGCACAAGCGAATTGCTCTGAACTGGAATTGGAAGCACTGTTCTCACTTCTTTTACTTGTAAGTTACAAACTAATAACAAGTTGCTTGTTACAGTCTGTACAGATTTAAGAGTCGCATTTTCTTACCTGTACTTAATAAAGTGTAGAGTGACTACATCTGAACAAAGAACTTTCCTGTTGCAATACACGTCTACGATTCTCTCTCAAGAAAATGCTGCTCCTCATTAAACTAATAATTATAAAGTAAGAGCTGAATATATTTTATATTTCACTTTTCGTTTAGCAGTAGATTGTATTTCTGCCTGGTCCAAAGTTTTGCGACATAATTAGTAGTGATATAAATCATGTGTGCGTATGTGTGTGTGTGAGTGTGTGTGTGTGTACGTGTGTATGTCAGTGTTTGTATGTGAGTAGGTGTCTGTATGTTTGTATCTGTGTGTGTGTGTGTG